CGTCCTTTCCGAATCTGTTTGTCGTTTTTGCTGCGGACCTACCAGTTTCGAGAAAAATAGGTTTAAAAATTAGACCACTGAGCCATCCAATCGACATTTTTTATTGTTTCAATTGTATTTAAGTATTTAGTGTTCCGAAATTCCCATTTTAATTGAAGAAATCAGTAGAAAATCCCGAGGTAAAGAAATGTTCAGCGTTTTTTGACGTAAATTTGAAACCTATTTAAGCCGCAGCAAAAACAAAAATCAGATTCGGAAAGGACGTGTCCTCAGCTTTCGAATGATATAGGTCTCGACTCGAAACTCCAACCTAAGTTCACAACCTTCCCTAGTGAGCTACGGTGCTGCAAGCTGAGCTTTAAAAATTACGAAAAATCTCATCTCTCCCCTCCTTCAAAAAACCATGCTGCGAACACCTTCCAAAGTAGAAGTGTACCCTCCACCTTGACCCGTTGTCTCTCAATTCCTGTCAAAGATAATGAAAAGTGGTCAACTAACAAATTGATTGTGATATTATGATTATCATTTTGTTAGTTGATCACTTTCTGGTGTCTTCGACAGGAACCGAGTTAATTTAGGTAGAAGTTGATGATGTGGCAGCGAGCCCTTTGATAAGGACAGAGCCCATTATTAGCAATCACCTCTCGGGAAGTTGAACTTGTAGGTGAAATATAACAAATTGCCACACCTCTGAGCTACGCGGAATTCGAAAAAAAAACTCACATTTACATCATAGGAATATATTGCTTGTGCTTGACTGAAGCAATTGGAAGTGCTAGTCAAAAAGTATCCACAATCTCCCTTATCCTCCCGGCTTCCCATCTCCATAGTATCCAAATTGATTGGTCTATAAAGCCCGGAACTGGCATCGAAAGTGTCCCGACATTTCTGCAGGGAGTCTGCTCCACAAATCTCCCTGATTTTCTCTAGCTCGTTTTGAGAGCTAACAGGTCCTGGACGAGTTTCACCAGTGAGACTCCATCCAGATTCGGTCAGGTTTTTTATAATGTCCTGATTGATTGCATAGGAATATTGGTTCCCTTTTTTGAGCACTCGGACCATTTCGAATTTCACGGAGATGGTTTTCTGGAAATTTTGGGATCAGGAATCAAGTTTTGGGGATAGCGGCTCACATAAAACTGGCTTTGCACTCCTTGCTTGATGTATGGAGGGGTTCCACTTCTGTGAATCATTTTTATTATTCTCAGTAGAGCAAATTTGAAACTTACAACCAAACATTTGGGGATGAATAATAGGCGTATCCTAGAACACGAACAGGACGGAACAGAAATTTGTAGTCGGTCAAATACGACTGGATATTGTTGGAGGTGTCGTAGCGGAAAGTTTTCAGCGCTGGAGAATAAAACTCGATGACCTCGATTTGGTCACTTCCACAATAGCCGGGAAAGGGAGCCAAAAAGCCAGCCAAGCCATGGTCGACCATATCGGGGGTCACATTTTCAGCTCTTTCGAATTTGAGCTGTCCGAATTGATTGGTGACAGAGTGAATTTTACTGAGATCCGGACAGCTACAGTTTGTGGGAAATTCGCCTATCATTGCGATACCCAGGTCCTTGGGTACTGGGTACTCGGAAGGGTCTTTAAAAAAAAAAGGGGTTGAAATTTGCAAATAAGCCTACCGTAATCCTCAAGAACCGAAATTTCCGATAAGAGGGTGTAGAATAGTCTGGAAGAGTCATCGGAACTCGCAAAGTTGTAAATCTTGATAGTTGGCACTGGAAATGATTGGGCAGTCTAAAAAAGAACTTCAAATTTGGCAGTATATTTATCTTACCGATGACTCAAATGTCCCAAAAATGATAGTCAAAAATATCAAGTTCGACCACATGTTTGAAGGAAAATGGAGAAACTTGAAATTCGAAAAAAAAATTGAAAAATGAAAATTTTTGTAATCTGTTGATATGCAAATTTCTGTTTTGTGTGGGTTTTAGAAGAACACAATGAATACGACATTTCAATGGATGTAGGTCAAACTTTGAGAACCGAGAGAAAAAAAACTAGACGTTTCAGAACCGGACATTTCGAAACCAAACGTTACAATCCAGATTTCCTGCGAAGCTATACGATGGATACGGATTATTTTCAGCTTCAAGGACAAGGAGGTGTGGGTCCAAACTACACACAATTTGAGGAAGAGGTGATTCAAAGTATGCGACAGATCCCCTATAATTGTACAGATGCTGTACCGGAGTACTTGCAAGAGGATCCCAAGCAGTACAGGAATGGCACTGAATTTCCGAAATATCTAGTTGGGACTTTTCAGGGTTAGTTTGAACTGTTTCTCGTTTTTGTCGGAAGGGTCGGATCAATGGCGGGTCTCCGGTGGGTCACTAGTAGACCACCGTCAACCAAGCAGCGCACGGAAACTTTTCGACCCCCATAGCTTAGCTCAAACTTTGAATTTTGGTGCTAATCAAAAACTGAAATGTGGAACTTAACAAAATCTACAGAATGATATACAATTCAATTTTATTGAAATGCACAGTTTTGAACCCAACCCAAGAAAACAGCCGGATCAGCAAAATCGACCGGAATAGCGCTTTCAGGTCCTCTGATTCAATACTCGGTGACCTAATTGAAATTTCAGAACCGGACATTTCGCAACCAAACGTTACAATCCAGATTTCCTGCAATGTTCCGGACCCACTCCTATTTCTTGAATTGCCTAAAATCGTATTTTATTTGTCTAGAACGCTCAAAACATGAATTATTCATCAAGACGAAGCCCTAAAATCAGCTTGGCGGGATTAGAAGACAACCTAGAAGATGTTGAAAAACAAAAAAAGTAAGCATACCAGGAAAAATTAATAATAGTAAAAAACACCGAGTGTTCTATATAAAATGGAATCCGTGTTATGGCCCACTCATTTTTTGTCTTTGTACGACCAATGAACCCACTTCTCATAATATTTCTAGTCCTTCAGGTTTAGTTAAATCATTTTCTGGAAAAAAGTTTTTTTTGGGATTTTCAGGTTTTTGGTCAACCGCCTGGAAACATATTTCATCTTGGATTTTTACACTGTGATGTACTGCCAAAAGTAATGCCGAAAACCTGTAATAGAAGGGCCCCACACACAGTAAAGTTTGAGATAAATTATCTGAATTTTTATGAAAGACACCAACGTTTAATATTATGATAAGCAATTTATCAATTGACAACAGGAAACAAGAAAAATTGGTTCAAAGTTAAAAGTTAGGGAGCCCTTCTATTACAGGTCTTACGGTAATTTGATCTACAAAACAAAAAAGTTGGACTTTTCAGGATGTGGAGGGTAGTAGTGCCTATGTGAACTACCGTACCTCAGCCAGCGCGGCCAGTATTGCTATAGACAGATTGAAGAGGGAAAATCGATTGGTTGGATATGATTTCAAGTGAACCAAAACGATGAAATTAATCAAAAATTACAATTTTTGCAGTTTTACAATCTTATTCGACCAATGTGAAGAGAACGTGGCCGCTGGAATGGCAGTCAAACTATTCGCTAACCATAACGTGGATGTGTTAATTGGGCCGACAACTAATATTCGTAAGAGTCCTCATTTTTAATGTTGTCAACTTCAACTTTTCCAGCCGCCGTCCCGGTTTTCAGTCTGGCATATTTCTACAATAGACCTGTTATCGCTTGGGGCATTACGTCATCAGCGGCACTCGATGATGCTACAAGGTACCCAACTGCTGGAATCATGTCGATTGGATCTAGAAGGTTTGGAGTTTTAGAATCAAAAATTCCATGTTGGAATTCTCAACACATTTCATTTTCAGTCTCGCCGTTGCATTCCGTGAAGTCATGCTAGAATACGGATGGGACCAATTTGTATACGCCTACTCCTTGGAAGGCGATGATGAGAAGTGTGAAACAATGAGAGACGATTTTCAAGACATGATTGCCTACTACCAGGATATTGTGATGTCGTACACTGTACAGATTACGGATCACTCGGAAGCGGGAATGTTGGCAGTGTTGAAAGATGCATCTACTAGAGGAAGAAGTGTGTGAGGATTACTGTAGCGCCTTCAACTGAAAAATTACAGTAATCGTTCCTTGCTTCCATGAGGGAAACTCTCGAGGTCTGCATCGACGATGGATGTTGGTAGCAGCGAGAAATGGATTCGTTTCCGATGAATATGTCTATATCTTTCCCTCGTTGAGGTCCAAAGGATACGGTAGCGAATTTAAATAGACTTTTAACTGAAAAACTAATTTCAGTGGTTCCGCAGCCCGGTGGAACTGTTCGATACCCTTGGGAAGAGCCTGGGAAGGGACCTCAACCCAGTGATCAAGAAGCCCTCATTGGATTTCAGAGATCTATTTTCATTGTAGATGTAATGTAATGAAGCTATACGATAAGTATGAACATTTATTTTTAGATGCAAGGCCAAGGAGGTGTGGGCGCAAACTATTCACAATTTGAGGAAGAGGTGATTCAAAGGATGCGACAGAGCCCCTATAACTGCACAGATGCCTGTTCGGCACCGGAGTATCAACAGGTAGGCTAGTTTGTCTTTGCCGTGTACTTGCCATGTTTCATTTAGACCGCAACGTATGCCGGACAACTACACGACGCCGTATATCTGTATGGATTGGCAATGGAAAAAATTTTACAAGAGGATCCCAAGCAGTACAGAAATGGCACTGAATTTCCGAAATATCTAGTTGGGACTTTTCAGGGTTAGTTTGAACTGTTTCTCATTCCTGTCGGAAATGTCGGATCAATGGCGGGTCTCCGGCGGGTCACTAGCTGGTCCCCGTCAACCAAGCAGCGCACGGAAACTTTTCGACCCCCATAGCTTAGCTCAAACTTTGAATTTTGGTGCTAATCAAAAACTGAAATGTGGAACTTAAAGGAGGCCAGACACCAAAAAAAAAGTTTTCCTGATATTTTGCATAGAGAACCCCTATGAGGGGTTGAACTCATGACAGGCAGCTCAGGGGTACAGCGCCGCTACCGGCTAAGCTACGGGGGCGCGAAGGCGCCTGACGGCCGATGGTCTACATAAGCGCGGCGCGATTTCGTCCCCCGAACTGTCCCCCGAAATTTTGGCTGTCTCGCCTCCTTTAACAAAATCTACAGGATGATATACAATTCAATTTTATTGAAATGCACAGTTTCGAACCAAACCCAAGAAAACAGCCGGATCAGCAAAATCGACCGGAATAGCGCTTTCAGGTCCTCTGATTTAATACTCGGTTATACAAACCTAATTGAATTTAGTATCATTTTGTAGATCTAAATAAGTACTTCCTTTTTGTTTTTGATTTGAACAGAAATTCCAAATTAATACCGAGTTACACGAAAATGTGTTCTTCGGCTACCGGCTTTTTTTTTTTGCTCTTCGGCTACCGGTGAACCGCCAGTGACGCACCAGCGAGCTACCGCTTGCTAAACGCCTTTTACGGACTTCGATAGCATATAATGTGCCAAATTCTAAGCCAGTGACCATGAAAAAATCGCTCGGCAAAAACGTTAACAAGGATACCCATACTTGGAATCCGGGCCTTTGCCGGGTCTTCGCGGGCCCTGCCATAGTTTCTTTCAGAATCAAAATTTTAGACCATCTAAATTGGGTATAATAGAACTTGACGAGTACTACTAAATAATATTATGCGGGATTTTGTATCTCGTCTGCAAACTAAGTTACAGACCATAAAGTGGCTTTTTTCGGACGTGACGAGCCGGGCCTTCTTTTTTCGCTTTTTTTTTTGTTTGTAACTTTGTTCGAAAACAAGATACAGTTTTTCAAATAATATCGTTTTGTAGTACTCGTCAAGCTATATCATATCCGCATTAGTTGGTCTAAAAATAATGATTCTGAAAGAAACAATGGCAAGGCCTGTCAAGGCCCGGGAAAGGCCCGGATTACAAGTATGAGGATACCGTAGTCCGACCAGGCTCATTCTCGACCTCATGTTCAGACATTTGCATTCCAGGAATCGCTGGAAAAATCAGTATTGACAATACTGGAGGACGCAGTCCAACCCTATACGTTCTCACGTTGGCCCAGAATAACACCGGTTCTGTAATTATGACCATAGATGTAGATGAACAATCCGCAGAAGTCAGCAAGCTCTATACAAACGAAGCCACTGCAGTTTGGAGTCATAGGAAAGGAATCCGCCCGTTGGATGAACCAGTTTGCGGGTACACCGGGTCCAAATGTCCAGCCAATGTGTTTTTCGAAAATATCGGATGGTTTATCACAGCGATCGGTCTTATAATCTTCACGATACTTGGTGCTGTTCTAGCGTTTGTTTATCTTTGCTAGTGAGTGAGCTAATGTATATTTTTAAAACTTAACACTATTTCTTGAAACCTTGCAGCGCGAAACAGCAAGAAGTGGAGCGACAAAATGCTTTATGGCAAATTCCTTTCAAGTCCATGCAAGCTATAACGAGGAAGAATCGAGGAGAGCATAGTATGCGGAGTATTAGTAGTGTACCGAGTACGGTATCCTCTACACGATCGTCTACACTTTCTGAGGTTGGCGAAACCAGGAATTATACGTTTTTTCAATTGCAAATTGATGTGGAATTGGAGAGGGTGGCGGCGAAGAAATATAGTATCAGACCGATTTTTGATTCAAAAATGTGTGCGAATATGAGACAGGTGAGGTTGTTTGAAAAAAAAACCACGGGTCATAACTAGGTGGAAACTTTGAATTTCTGTTCAATGCGGAAATTAAACTCTTGAACTCGACAAGGGACTAATCAAAGAAATGTTTGAATGTTCGCTTTATTAGTTAGACATAAATTCAAAAAGAGTTAGTTTAGAGGGGACTTATAGTTGAGACATGCTGTGGTTTTATCGACTCCGTACATGGATGGATTCGCGTAGACACTCGCAATGCATTTCTTACGATTCATCTCGTTTTGATCAACGAAACGGGCTGGGTAGTATTTTGGGTCATAGTAGTAGATGAGTCCTGCATAACTGGCAGGAACACAATCACATGGAGCATTTTTCCAACTAGAAGACCAATCGATTTGATAGCTGAGATTGTGTTGAATCCTATCCAATGAAACTGGCATATCTGAGAAAGAATAATCATTCGATTTTCATTTTCCTGAAAACTCTCACTTTTGCATGAAAGAGTTAGTTGTTCTCCAGTTGGGACGTTGAAGTATCCACAAAACCATTTGAATGCCTTGATTCTTCTGGATTCTCCTGCGCCTCCTGGGTTCTGTGGATCTTCTCCTCCGCACTCATTGTTAATGATCAGAGATGTTGGTCCAAAGATTGGCCCCGTGTATCCAGCTGCTCTATTCTCGGCTCCACTGTTCCAATTACCCATGACAATGTCATGCATAGCAGGCTTCGGTGGTTGTGGAGTCATATAAAACCAAAGCGATGCCATCATAGCAAGTGGTGGATTCATTTCAGTCATCAACAGATTCGGTTCATTCAACAAATCCACATTGATGTTCACCGATTTCAGCCATTCTTGAAATTGACCGTAATTGTAGTTGTAAGAGATTTGAATGGCACCACGACCGAAATAACATCCTTTGTATGGCGCTGCAGGGTTGCCAGTTGTCTTTTTCGAGCAAGGATAAAAATAAGAAATCAGAGGGGAATCTGTGCAATATTGACCGGCAGATGAACATGAGTTTCCATCGGCTGGAGTGTATCCAGGAGTTGTTGGATCCAAGTAACGGCTTATTGGACCACCTTCAAACCAATTGAAGAAACCTCCGCGATAGAAGCAATTCGAAGCTTCTTCCTCAGAGAGTGTCCTATAAAAGAAAACTGATAAAATGAACAGATAAGGATGTTTAAAGGGGGACTCCGGTCAATTTTTTCATTGCATCAAAATGTGTAAAAATTCATCTTTTTTCAGAATATTATTGCGAAAAAATTCGAAAAAAATCCGAAATCCCCAAAAAACGCCGTTGAAAAGTAAAAAAATTCAAAAAAAAGGTGCCGCCGAGGGACGAGGATTTTCAGTGAGAAAACTAGGCCACGTGAGCGGCGCGACTTTCTTAACGGACAATTTTTCCGGAGTTTTTTCGCTTTTATTTCCGACAGGTAAAAAACGTTAAAAAACACTGTCGGCCACTTGAAAATAATGCTATCAGGCGCCGTGGCCTAGTTTTCTCACTGCGCGGGAATTCAAATCCTCGTCCCTCGGCGGCACCTTTTTTGAAATTTTTTCATTCTCAACAGCGTTTTTCGGGGATTTCGAATTTCTTTTGAATGTTTTCACAATAATATTAGGAAAAAAGATAAGTTTTAACACATTTTAATACAACAAAAATTTTTGCTCGGAGTCCCCCTTTAAAACATACTTGTAAAGAGCATTGTTATTCTCTCCAGTTTCTTGGATCGCGTGGGCAAAGAAAGCGGCCAAGTCTCGTCTCATGTTCTGATCAGCTGTATACTTCTAAAAAGAATTCTTAAACGTATTACTGGATGAAACTCTGCCTTACCGTGTTATTCACATTAATCGAAGTTCCAAACTCCGGGAAATATCTGGCAGCGATCTTGAAAGCCTCATAAGAATATGGCCAACAGCTATTTGGTCCCCATCCGAGATTTGCAAATGGAAACAGATCATCAAACATTTCCTTTGTGAACCAAGATTCTAGTTGTGATGCAGGCTTATTGTTGGGATCAGCTGGTGGAGGGCATGAGGCTGGAGGTCCGTTCCCGAATTTGAAAGGTTTGGGACACGATCCCGCATATCCATAACCGATTGCAGTTACAAATGGATTGTCTGGAAATCGAAGTATTTTTTGCTAATGATTTCAAACGACGTCTAAAGAAATCTTACGTGCTAAGAAGACAGCTACTGTCAGGAGGACAGTGTTGATGTTAGTCATGATAACGACCATGTTTCAAACGGCACATGGCGTTCCTTTTAAACTCTTCGCACTCCACAAAAATATTATTCCCAATGTACTCCATTATCTTTACGGTGATACCGAGTCGGAAACGTGATGTTGTCGCTTTATACTATGTTATTAGTACATGCTCAAAAATTATCGAGCTTTTAAAAAATCACAACTCATCGAAACAAGCACTCTTCATTCTCACGCTACTCATTCTTTGTACTACGGTCAACACTGCGATACTATACTTTGTTATTAGTACATGTCCAAAAATTTTTGCATTGTTTACATTAGTACGAAGAGTCTGGGAATGAAGAATGCTGACGTCATAACCGGTATCTCCGTTTTTGATAAAGAGAATAGAGTACGCACAGATGCGTTGTGATTTTTTAAAAGCTTCATACTTTTTTGATATGTACTAAACATGTATTATACGAAAACATCACGTTCCTGACCTCATAATCAAATTTTACCGTTTTTGTTGAAGAGAATGGGGTACGTTAGGAATAATATTTTCGTGGAGTGCAAAAAGTTTAAAAGGAGCACCGTGAGCCGTTTGAACCATGATCGTTATGATGACTGGCACCAAGACTGTCCTTCTGACAGTAGCTGTCTTCTTAGCACGTAAAATTTTTTAGACTTCGTTTGAAATCATTAGCAAAAAAATACTTCGATTTTCAGACAATCCATTTGTAACTGCAATCGGTTATGGAAATGCGGGATCGTGTCCCAAACCGTTCAAATTCGGGAACGGACCTCCAGCCTCATGCCCTCCACCAGCTGATCCCAACAATAAGCCTGCATCACAACTAGAGTCTTGGTTCACAAAAGAAATATTTGATGATCTGTTTCCGTTTGCAAATCTCGGTTGGGGGCCATCCAGCTGTTGACCATATTCTTATGAGGCATTCAAGATCGCCTCCAGATACTTCCCTGAGTTTGGAACTTCGAGTAATACGGTAAAACAGATTTTTACTCGGAAAAAGAAAATTAATTTTAGGAGTATACAGCTGAGACACTTGACAGCTTTCTTTGCCCATGCGATCCAAGAAACTGGAAAGAACAACATTGCGCTTTACGAGTAAGTTGTGAATTTCTTTGTCAGTTTTTTAAGCTGTAGTATTTTATAGCACACTTTCCCAGGAAGATGCTTCGAATTGCTTCTATCGCGGAGGTTCTTTCAATTGGTTCGAAGGTGGACCAGTAAGCAGGTTTTTGGATCCAAAAACTACTGGATACACTCCAGCCGATGGAAACTCATGTTCTTCAGCCGGCCAATATTGCACAGATTCCCCTCTGATTTCCTATTTTTATCCTTGCTCGAAAAAGACAACTGGCAACCCTGCAGCGCCATACAAAGGATGTTATTTCGGTCGTAGTGCCATTCAAATCTCATAACTACAATTATGGTCAATTCCGAGAATGGCTGAAATCGGTGTACATCACTGTGGATTTGTTGAATGAACCGAATCTGTTGATGACTGAAATGAATCCACCACTTGCTATGATAGCATCGCTTTGGTTTTATATGACTCCACAACCACCGAAGCCTGCTATGCATGACATTGTCATGGGTAACTGGAACAGTGGAGCCGAGAATAGAGCAGCTGGATACACGGGGCCAATCTTTGGACCAACATCTCTGATCATTAACAATGAGTGCGGAGGAGAAGATCCACAGAACCCAGGAAGCGCAGGAGAATCCAGAAGAATCAAGGCATTCAAATTGTTCTACGGATACTTCAACGTCCCAACTGGAGAACAACTAACTCTTTCATGCAAAAGTGAGAGACTTCATGAAAATGAAAATCGAATGATTGTTTTTTCTCAGATATGCAAGTTTCATTGGATAGGATTCAACACAATCTCAGCTATCAAATCGATTGGTCTTCTAGTTGGAAAAATGCTCCATGTGATTGTGTTCCTGCCAATTTTGCAGGACTCATCTACTATGATGATCCAGCCTACTATCCAGCCAGCTTTGTTGCTCAAAACGAAATTAATCGTCAGAAATGCATTGCGAGTGTCTACGCGAACCCATCCATGTACGTAGTCGATAAAACCACAGCATGTCTCAACTACAAGTCCCCTCTAAACTAATTCTTTGTGATTTTATGCCTAACTAATAAACCGAATATTCAAACTTTTCTTCGATTAGTCACTCGTTTAGTTCAACATTTTACTTTTCGATTTGAACAGCATTGTAAACTTTTTGACTCAAACTGAAATCCTTAAATCGATTCTCAGTGGCATGAGCTAAATTTTCAAAAGAAAAAAGTCAATTCAGATGCGACTAATCGATCATTCAAACTTAAACAAGTTCATTGGAATCTCTCTAGATGCTCCACAACTTTTATCGGTTTGGAGATTCTGTGCCAGAGGATCGTTAGCTGATGTCATCGCCAAGGCTAGCCTTCAAATGGATGGATTCTTTATATATTCCCTGATGAAGGATATTGTGAATGGCTTAACATGGATTCATGAGTCTTCCCATGGGTGTCATGGAATGCTAACTTCAAAGTGTTGCCTTCTGAATGATCGGTGGCAATTGAAGATAACAGATTTTGGGTTGAGTTGGTTTAGAACCCATGACCAGCTCACGAAGACAGGTGGGCGAATGTTTCCGTTCTTGGTGAGAAATTTCAAACTTCAGACCGTCTATGGACTGCCCCCGAACTTTTAAGAAACGACGATCTTCTAGGGTCCCGTGAAGGAGATATATATAGTTTGGGAATCATCAGTGCAGAGCTGATAACAAGAAGTTCCGTGTTTGGTTTGGAAAACAGAAAGGAGGATCCAGAAGAGATTGTGTACAAGTTGAAAAAGGGAGGCCTGCAATCACCACGACCAAATTTAGAACACGACGAGTCATTGGAGATTAATCCGGCATTGCTGCATCTAGTCAGAGATTGCTGGACGGAACGCCCATCCGAACGTCCGGATATCAAACAAGTTGGCTCTCAACTAAGAAGTATGAACACAAATCGAAATGATAATCTAATGGATCACGTCTTCAATGTGCTAGAATCCTACGCATCCACGTTGGAAGACGAGGTAGCAGAGAGAATGAAAGAGTTGGTAGAGGAAAAGAAGAAAAGTGATGTATTACTATACCGAATGCTTCCGAAGCAAGTAGCGGATAAGCTTAAAATCGGGCAGACCGTGGAACCCGAGACTTTTGATCTGGTAACTCTCTTCTTCTCAGACGTCGTCAGTTTTACCACCCTAGCTGGTAAATGCACCCCATTGCAAGTCATAAACCTGCTAAATGGATTGTACACAATATTCGATGGAATCATTGAACAACACGATGTGTATAAAGTGGAGACTATTGGAGATGGATACTTTGTTGCTTCTGGTGTCCCAAGGTGGAATGGAAATGAGCATACGAGAAATATTGCGAGCATGTCGCTGTGTTTTGTGAAATCCATCGCTGGGTACAAGGTTCCACATTTGCCAGGAGAGAAGATTAATATAAGAGTTGGATTTCATTGTGGTGAGTATTGTGGCGCTCTCGCTTGGCAACCACATAGTTCAGCGGATCAGTATTTAAAGCTTCCATATTGGACCGAGCTGACCCAGTTCGTGCGGCTTTCGGTCGGCTGTCAGTCGGCTGGGTCGTCTTGGTAGGCGGCTGGTCGGCGGGCTAAATTTCCCGACAAAATGGAAGCCTAATAGTTAGCAGTATTCTTCGTTCTAAACTTCCATATTTTAGGATCCGTGGTAGCTGGAGTCGTTGGCCTTACCATGCCCCGGTACTGCCTATTCGGAGACGCTGTGAACACGGCTAGCAGGATGGAAAGCAATTCTAAACGTAAGAACTTTATCTAGAAGAGACTAGGAGACTTGTATTTCCAGCCGGACAAATTCACATCTCCCAAGAAGCCAATGAGATGCTGATGAGACTTGGTGGCTTCACCACAGAGCCACGTGGAGAGGTTATTGTGAAGGTATCCTATATTTTTTCAGCTTCGGAAATATGAAAATTGGGCTCTTTAGGGGAAAGGTGTGATGAACACGTACTGGTTGAAGGAAATGACCGAGTCAGCGGATCCGAGGAACATGGAGAAGAAAGATTGATCTAAAAGTTGCTGATCCATATATTGCACAAAAATTTTTTTTTTCGAATTGTCTGTAAACTTGAGATCTTGAAAAATGAACTTGTGGCCGGCTGACACATAAATATTAGTTTAATACACTTTCAATCAAATCGGTCTATAAGAGATTTCTACTCTATCTGTTTTCAGCGGCCCCTAAAAAAATAACGGTCCGCAGGGAAAAATACGGTCCCGGGAGAAAACAACGGTCCGGAGCGAAGTTTGCGTTTCGGACTTCAGGAGATCCAAAGTTAATGGATTTCGTTCAAAAAGCTCTTCAGAATTGTCTCAAAATTGGCTCATTCATGGGCTTTTGCGTAATATTAGGTTGTTCGGAAAGTCCTTTCCATTTTTAGCGTCAGATTCATTCGATATAAAAAAGGTCAAAACGATGTCAGATAAATTGAAGATAATGACCATTGTTATCAGTGACTATCTGTCAACGTCCCACCAAATTGTGAATGCCTTCCTTCCAGAACTCCGGTCACAGCGCATTGAAAATCAGGTCAACCCATTTTTGACATCATGCTTTGAAGTGAATTTTTTTCAATCAAGATGTCGGTAGAAATGGCTGAATAGAGGGTAGTCAGACAGTACAAGGTTAGGACTATACTGTAGATAAGACAGAACCGTTTAGCCATATCCAGTGAGATCGGTCTCCGTTCTCCTTCCCGCATGAGGTTGCGAATTTCGATTTTGAAAATAAACATTTGTGTTTCTCTCCAATGGAGATCCACATGGAGTATGAGTTATGTCACCTGACAAAAATAGGCATCGGTCATAAAAGTGACACCATTATCTGACAGCTCCCAATACTCCACTCCTTGGTAGACATCCATGCCGAAAACATCCCATTTTTAACGATAATTTCACGTTTCGGGACGTCTGGTGGTTGAGTGCCTTTGTTAACCCACTTGGATTGTTGTTTATAGTAACCATACATTACCCATTTATCGCCACTAGTAATGATTTAACTTCAAAATTCATGTGTGCAACACAGGATGAGAAGATTCAAACAGGTGCCCACAAATGAAACAAAGTTGCTTTGAGCGAAAAGGTGTGATCCATATCTTCCCACTTTTTTTACTTTGCCGAGAGTTCCCAATTTATGGCTTTTTGACGAAAGGATTGCCACTGATGTACTTGATATATCCCGCACAGTTTGAGACGGGTCCCTTTCAATCCCGGTTTTTAATGAGTCCAAATCTGAGCCCGTATCAGACATGAGCGGAATTCCTTATTCCTTATTCCTTATTCCGGGTATGTCTGGCCTTCTCCTTATTCCGGGTATGTCTGGCTCATGTCTGGCCCGTATGCTTTTTTGGAGGGGGATTTTCGTCCAACGAGAATTTTCATTTTTCAAATTGATGAATCCAGGTTGTGAAGTTTGTTCGAAAGGGTGCATCTTCGTTATTAACCCCCACAAATTGGTGATTGATTTCATTTGATCTGAGGTCAGATAGAAATACAAATAAAATGGTAGTCCAAAAATGGAAATTATTAGAGGCGAAAACGGTGGGCATATCTCATTGTACGAAAAGAGGAGAATGATCTCCGTTGGGGTGTAGACACTATCAGACCCCACCAACATACTCATAAAACGACAACTTCCTCGCTTTTATCCCCTTCAAGAAAACGAAGTTTGAAAACAACATATCAAAAGTGGAAAGGACTTTCCGAACAACCTAATAATAGTGGCTACCTTTGAGTCAATATATCTTAGTTCTCGTGAAAGATATCAAAAAACTTTCAGGAGCAAAAATTTATGTTTTGAAATCAGCAACATTTCATCAATTGAACACGTTTTAATAACTCAAACAGAAAACGAGATAATTAAGGTCGAAGGATCTTTTTAAGGAGTTTCACACATTTTAAAAGTGATAAGTCAATAGTTATTTAAACGTGATGAAAATAACCTTGGATGAAAACAGTGTTCAAGAAATTAAATTTTTCGCCAAAAAATCTACGACCCTTGACGTCCCATTGACCTCAGAAGAAATTCTAGAAAGGAAGAGGAAAGTGGAGGGACAAATCAGTCCTCCCTTCTCTGGGCTCCTGAGAAGAGGTCCCTGGGTCCGAAACGCAAACTTCACTCCGGACCGTTTTTTTCTCTAGGGACCGCTGAAATCAGATAGAGCCGAAATTTCTAGAAATTGCACTTTTCCATCGTAATGCTCAATTTTAATCTGGTTGGTTTTTGAACTTTTTGGGTAACATTTAAGCTGATAGACAAACAAAGAATAGGCAATTAACTATATATGGTTCATTTTATTCCAAAAGATCAAAAAATCATTTGATGGAGATCATATCTGATCTTCTAATTATACTGTTGCTTTGGCTAACCGCTACAACAACAGTAGCTTTCTTTTTCGGTTTACAATTATTCAACACCAATAAAAATGGTAAGCATAATTCTGGCAAATAGTTTAGAAGGTTGAATATTGAAATGAGGGTCAGTTGGATGTCAAAACCAGCTTGGTCCACATATCCCAAGTATTCTGAGATCGCAGACATTATCTGTAAAAGGTGAAGATAACATTTGAGGTTCCAGAACTTTTGAAATACCCCATAGAAAAACACGGTGATCAAAATTTGAATGAATACATTTTGCTGTCCTTTATTCTTTGAATTGTTATGAGCCAAAAGTTTTTTCTTGTTCTTCTTGAGATGCCAAAAAATTTTCAGATAACAAATTGCAGATGACAAGGGAAACATGTAGAAGAGACGGGTGATTAACTGAAATTTGAACTTGAGATAATTTTTAGAAAAATTTACTTACCTTTCTAAACCCATTGGGCTCTCCGAAATCAATGAAGCCCATATCAAACTGATATCTTCTTGTGATTTTTGAAGTCCGAATAGACACAAAAGCTCCTATAACTGATAAGATGGAACTGATTATAACAGGAATAATGACTCGTTTTCCTTCAAAAATCGCTTCACTCCATGAAGTTTTCACAATGACTAGACATCTGTTAAGAGCTATGAAAAAGATAAGGACCATTGAAAAATTGGCACTGGTAGCGTCCACATATAATGAGATAGTTGTTGGAATTGAATAGGATGAAATATCAGGATCAGAGAAAGCAGCAAACATAAATGTTATGATAAAGATGAGAGTACGAAAAAGGATTGATAATGCAAGAGTGATAAGAAGGAAAAAGAAGGATCCCTGGAAAAATAATCGTCGGGATTCTGGCATTCCTAGATTGTCATATTATAATAGGCTGTGAGTCTGGTAGCCAGAGATTTGGAAATTAAGAAATTCCAAGAGTCTGAAGCCCTCACCTGTTGGAACTTCTTCTTTGTACAAACCATCCATATTGCCAAAATTTGGAAAACAAAATTCACTAAACAAATCAAATTTTGACCTACAATTGGGAGTGAAAAATAGTTCAGATTAGATTCGAAAGTGGTTGCGCATTCATATGGATCAAATTCTCGTCCACATTGAACGGATTCTTGGCCTTGAGGATCTGGTGGGAAAAGAAACGAATTTTCAGAATAATACATTCAGTTAGAAACTCAAAGTGAAATAATGTTTTGAGAAAGAAGCTAAGAGTGTACTACTCTCACAAACTCTCACTGAGTTTGTGGGCGTTAATTCTATGTTTATAAGAAAATATAGCGAATGGCAAAATTTTGGCATTTTTCGTAAACTTTGGTTTTTTGAGCTCTTAGAATAGCACTTGACGGACAAAAAAAGTTATAATTATCTGTAAACACAACCACATGGTTTGCAAGATTCTATTATGTAAGTATAAATCACTTATCGAGAAGGACATGGGGATATTCAATAACGGGTTACAATTGAAGTAATCAAATAATCAAACTCGAACGGTGAAAGAAAGTTCTTGACATGAAAAAACTACATACAGTATAATAGTTGATATAATAGTTACCCAATGAAGGCCTCTTATAATAGAGACCCTATATGATCTCCTTAGTATACCAACGAAAACTATCTTTTTAGGTCTGCAGTTATTCAAAACTAACAAAAATGGTAGAGATAATTCTAGCAAATAGTTCAGAAGGTTGAAAATGGAAATGAGAGAAACTTGAGTGTTATAATTCGCTTGATTGAAATATCCTAACTATTTGCCGGCCCATAACTATTCGCCGGCCCATAACTGTCCTCGAACTTGGAATTTCCATTCCAATCAAAGAAGTAAACTGTAGAACAACGAAATCTACAATATGATGTATAATTTGACAATATTGAATTGCTGAAAACCGCTAAAATCAATGTTATGATGGGTGTGAATGTACGAAGAAGGACAGATTCATCAAAATCATACTTTGGTACACATTGAACCGGTTCTTTGTCAGAAGAATGCAGAAAAAGAGCCGGATTTTCCGAATGATGCATTTAGAAGAAACTGAACTGAAAATGATTTTTTGAGAAAAAAGCGAAGTTTGTACTATTCAAAAAAAAATTTTCTCAACTATAACCTTGTCAATCTTTCGATCGCTTCGAATAACACCTGACAGCAAGGCTGTCGGAAATGACAGCCGGCCGGCCTCTTCTGTTAAATTGACAGCGCGGCCGTGCGGGGCCGAGGGAAATTACCGTATTTCCTCTAATAGAAGCCCATGGGCTTCTATTTTTCAACTTCCCTCTCCGGGTGGGCTTCTATTAGAGGTAGGCTTCAATTAGAGGGTGGGCTTCTATTTTTAATGATTAATTTTCAAAAAAATTTTGTTCAAAAATCAGAAATTTGGCAATTCGGAAGTTAAGAATTCTGACCTTCGAGGTTTTTTTAATCCAAAGTATTCATTCTGCATTTCTAAACTCCAAAATTCGGAATTTATGAAATTCTGAGATTCCAGAATTTCAAAATTCAAAATTCAGGAATTCTGTAGATCAGAAGTTGAGAAGTTTTCAAGTTCTAAAATTCCAGTTTCAAAAATTCTGAATTTTTTAATCACCATATTTTCTCTAATAGACGCCCATGGGCTTCTATTAGAGGAAATACGGTATTTGAAAAATTGGCAGATTTGTGAGAAGATGAAAAATAGGAAAAGAAAGATCGAAATGTAACTAACAGTACATATTTTCATCTTTTAAAAACTAAAAAATATTTGAAAAATATTTTAATGACGGCCAAGCCGTGGATATAGCCGGCCGCGGCTGTTTCTGACAGCCTTTCCTGACAGACAAAAAGGTTACAATACTTGTAAAATTCCGGGCCCGGCCCGGGCCCAGCCCGGAAGACCCGGTAGCAAAAATTTGTCATTTTGACCGAATTTTGAGCTCTCAATACAATTTTCTATATTTTTTTGTGCTTTTTGGATTGTTTGTCTGTTTGATCAAAAAAAATTTTTTAAAACTCGAAAAAAATTTTTTAATCGAAAAAAATCACATAAAAAAATCACCCTTATGTGTTTTTTGAAATTTTCAGAACTTGCGGAATGACAGGCCCGCCGGGCC